CTTGGCTTTTCCCAATTCATATTTTGGCCTGTTACTTAGCATCTTTGTCCATTTGTAATCATTACATTGAAAAGTGAAAATCAAACAAGCCAAAGAAAAGATGAATTGATTTCTTCTAGAACCCAGTGAGAGGGAAAGTTCTTTATGCAGATTTTCTCAGGCCGAACACAATACATCAAAGACATTACCTTTTGTCTGGCATTTACATGAAGTTTCATTTCCCCACTGATACTATCTTTCTGTATGTAAACATTAAATGCTCAGTGGTCATTTTTAGATACACACAAGTGGTTTGAGGATTTATTTCTCCTTACAGGAAGCTGTGGTCATCACTCACAAGTTCTCATGAGGAGTTCCCAAAGTTGTTCTTCATGGTTTACATTTGGGTAGTTCTGGTAACAAAGATAATGTACTCAACACTTTCTCATGGATGTGAAGATGAAGTTGGGGTTCAAAGGAGACCCAATGATTGAGATGTACAGAAGAGGGTAATGCACTCATAAACACTACTCTTCATAGAATACTTAAATGCCCTACCACAATAACCATTGGAGCAATGCATGTTTAGTTCTGGCACAATTCAAAGAAACAGTGGGAGAAATGTTAATTCTCCCAGGGTAAGATTTAGTAGCTCAGCTGCTCCTGAAGATATGCATACAGTGATTTATCCTGCCATAAATAGGTTTGTTCTATCTCACAGTAGGAATACTCACAAATCTCCCTTTGATTAAGTCTGTCAAAGGGCTAATAAAAGGGTGGAGCTAAGCACTAAAACCGTCATTTCTTTCTTCTGCTGGACAGTTCAGTGCATTTAAGAAGTAAAGGACTATATAGTGAGTTGAAAGGTTTAGCAATCCTTTTTAAGGCAAAGCACAATCAAGGATCACAAAGAGCAACCCTGTGCCAATAATTGCACAATATTAAGAATGTTTAAGTGGGGTAGGAGAGAGGAATCACCCACTTAGACCATTCTTCAATTTGGAATTTGTACACTAAAATACGTGTGCGTAAACTCCAACAACTGTAAGCTCCAAAAGTCTAGGCTTGCAAAAATAGGGAATGTCAGTTCCATGTTTATTTCTTTATTAAAAGTTTCTATAGCTTACAATAATACCAAAAGATTGTGTTCAGAATTGTGCATTGAGAGGATGGAATAGTGTGGTGTTTTAAATACCTCGTTTCATGCTGGTTGAAGGCCGACATAGTTGTGATTCAATTTCCTTCTTCTATTCAGTCCTTTCTGTTCCTGTTTGCTTGCACAATTAACAATGTCTGTTTCACAGTCATTTATATATTATAAATTATATTATATAGCATTATTGGCATTGATGTGTGTGTTTCCTTATGAACTCTTCATGAGATAGGTATTAAGTAGCATGTTTTGCCCAGAACCCAAAACAGTCCTGGGAAATTTACATATATTTTTTTTGTTTCCCGAGGATATGTTCCATGTAAAGAAAACAAATGTATCTAAAAAGTTTTTAAAGGCATGATGAAAGAAATGTCCTTCTGGGTTTGGCTCCAAGTGGGGAAAAAGACACTGGAGACATGGAGGCTGCTTGGAAAGATGGTTTATTGTTGGACAGGGCCACATGGCTTGAGCCCTGAACAGAAAAGTTGATCACATGCTTCAATGTTGGTGGAGAAGAAGAGAAGGGCTGAAGGAGGGGCTTGCTAGGCTTTTTATAACCTGTTTAGTCCCACCTCTCTGTTTCCTGTTCCTGTGTAAGAAATATATTCTGATTGGTTGTCGGACTCCTATGGGGCCATGCAGGGGCTACTCTCTAGGCTGTGTTTTGAATCCAGATTTGGTTGAGTTCTCAGATGCCATGTGGTCAGTTGAGTAAAATTCCTTAATCCCTTCCCCCTGGAGCTGCAGTGGAGAAGTCTTTATTATGTAAAATGGACTAGCTTGGCCTTAATGGCCCATTAACAGTGGGAATGGGCAGGAAGCTACAGGCAACTATTCTGTCTTTTAAAACATGTTTCTTTCTTTTCATATCCAGAGAAATATTCTGCCTTTTCAATATTTCCTAGGATATTTCATTTTTCTGGGAGAGGGCTGGATGATAACTTCCCACAGGCATACATCTCTTTATTTTTCCTCCAAACATAAATAAGAAAAGAATTTAGCTTTTCATAAGAAATCAACTTTAGGAATGGTAAAATAGAATATAAGCTGCAATTAAAAAATACATAAATTGTTAGACAAACCTCACCTGAAGCTGTCATAAGGATAGCAGCCTGTCAGTTACTTTTATTTTGGCAGTCCTCAGCAGATAGAAAGAAGTAAATCTTACTAAATGTGAAGTTGACTGCATTCAGCACGAGGGTAATACATTATTCAAATCTGATGTGTGGCATATGGAATCAAGAAAGTAAAACAAGCAAAAAGAGCTTAGAGATGGAGGAACCAACTTGCTTCTGATAAATTCAAGAATAAGATTTTGTTTAGATTAGTTGGAAACTAGTAAATGAATGTAAAAGAGCATGGAGAGAAGGGACCCTTTGAAAAGAAAAAACTGGGGGGGAGGAGATATGTGAAAAACAGAACAATTCCATCTTACATCCTGAAGTAAAAAAAACCTGCAAGATTGAGTCTCTAAAACTCAAACTATTTCCCTATATAGTTATCCCTCTGGCTCTTCAGTGTTTTGACTTTGTGTTTTGACTTTGAAGAGATATTGAGCGCCTTCATAACTGACTCTAAGCTAGGCCTTTCTTCTTGGCAAATTTATTGGTCTTGAGTTGACCAGGATAAAGCTCAATATTCTTACCACAATCCGGTCTCTATTGGTTCTGTTTTAGCTCAGTGCTGACTTGTGTTATCATTATGTTGCATAAACAGGGCATATTAAGCTATTTGCATGCCACCTGTGGTAGGTTTCAAAATTTTTTAGAACCTCTTCTGTAGGTGTGGCCTGCTTTGTGGGAGTGGCCTGCTAGTCATGTGACTGGGTGGTGGTGGCTTGGCAGTCATGTGACTGGGTGGGCGTGGCCAACATGTAAAATGTGGTGAAACTCACTTAATAATGCTCTTGCTTAGCAACCAAAATGTTGGCTCAGAAACTCTGGCATTTGAAGCACATAAGTCTTAAAGCTGTCAAGTTACAAGACCTTGCACCCCTAACCCTTTAGAAAAAAACCCAGGGGTATTCAAACTTGACAGCTTTAAGACTTGTGGATTTCAACTCCCAGAATTCTTCCTCTCGCTCTTCATCTTGATGATGTCTGGATGGGTGGGGGGAGGGAGCTGGAACCGGTTCTAAATGGCACTGTAGATTTGTGGAACCTTTTCTATAGAAGAGGTTAAAACTGGCAGGAACCCACTTCTGCATGCCACCAACCAGAGAGAAACCATAGAGAACACTGAATGCTTCTTAATAGGGCTTGGAGAGATGTTACAAAAAATCAAAGCAAACAAGCCTTTAAAATAATTGTATACTTTGAACATCCTAATCTTATTATTCAATAACAAACAAGCACTGAAAATGTCTGTGAAAACTGAACTAAAATTAAGTGAAAAACTGCAGTTGTAGAAATATCAGTAGGTGAAAATTTCTGTCATGGTATATCAGACAATTGCTTTTTTACGCATTAGATCTAATATAGAATAAGGAATCAATGTCCTTTAGGTGATCCTGAACTAGTATCTCCAGCCATTGGGCAGCTTGGTTGGAGTTACTGGCAGATGTGATTTAGCAACATCTGTGGGAGTCCAGATTCCACATTCCTAATATTTACCTTATTCAAATTTGTTGTGCCCTCCCAATTCCAAATAATACTTGTTCTATTTATATACATAAAATTGTAATTTGTGAATGCATTGTCTCGAACAGTTTTCTTAATCAAATATACTCCATTTGTCTTTGTAAAATATAGGAATTTGACCTAGACTTTATTTATTCTTCTTGCAACAGTTTCCCTTTTTTGTCCTTTTCCAATTATTCTATTATCTCCTATTGACCTCTGAATAATACAGAACTAGCAGTGGCTCAGTGGCTAAGACACGGAGCTTGTCAACCAGAAAAGTCGGCAGTTCAGTGGCTCAATCCCTAGTGTCACATTACAGAGTGAATTCCCATTACTCATCCCAGCTTCTGCCAACCTAGCAGTTCGGAGGCATGTAAAAATGCAAGTAGAAAAACAGGGACCACCTTTGGTGAAAAGGTAACAGTGTTCCGTGCGCCTTTGGCATTTAGTCATGCCAGCCACATGAATATGGAGACGTCTTTGGACAGCACTGTCTCTTCAGCTTGGAAACAGGGATAAGCACTGCCCTCTAGAGTTGGGAATGATTAGCACATTTGTGTGAGGGAACCTTTACCTTTTAGCAGTGATTAATTTATCACAGGATATACATCTCAAACTCAACCATAATTATGTTTGGCTGATTCTAGTTTAAGCTGATAACCTGTGGTTCATAAGCCACAAAAGGCAGCACTTGCCCATCTCTGCTTTAGAGAACCAGGGAAATATCTTTGTCAAATGACAGACTGTGACTTTATAATATTCAGTGCCATCCATTGACCCAGAATTGTCTAAGAACAGTCTTTTTCTTTTCTTTTATATTTTCTTCCTATTCAAAATTTTATTGGCACAGTCAAAATGAAGCTTTGAGTTATTTCATAATGCTAAAAGCTATAATTAAAATAAAATGTGAAGTAGAATATCACATAAATTGGTTTGACGTGATGGAAGGAAATGCTGCACTTAAGCAAAAGATTTTCATGCATCTATTATATTTTTCTTTTAAAAATAAAAAATAAAAGTATTCATTTGAAAAACAAAACTATGATTTTTTTAAGCCATTCTGCATTAGCTGAAGTAACTATAGTTCAATTTGGAAGCATTTGCTCCACTTGTTCAGATAGCTGTAGTTGGCTGTTTCCTCCATTTTTGGGTAGAGATCTAATTTTCTGATGTGTCATGAATGTACAGTAGCATCTTTGTGAAACCCAGGGAAAAAACGAAATGGCTCTATTTTTTGTGAATTTTAGGACCGCCTATTTTTCGTCATGGAATATGTCAATGGAGGAGACCTAATGTTTCAGATTCAACGTTCACGCAAATTTGACGAGCCTCGCTCCCGCTTCTATGCAGCAGAAGTCACATCGGCACTCATGTTCCTACATCAACATGGCGTCATCTACAGGTACTTTTCTTTCAGAGGTTGAAAAAAAAAAGAATTATTAAAGCTGTTTGTTTCATTGGTGTTGGCTAAACTCCAGGGTCTCTTAGCAACCGCACTGGCTGTTAGTTTCTGCTTGCTAACACAGAACTTTTTTTTCTTACTCTTTTTGAGGTGGGGAGAAGACTGTTTATCATTCTGAATGTTAGCATTTGAATCGTCTCTGCAGGCCTTGCCAGCTGTGGGTGCCAGTTTTGTATTATAAAACAAGCAACGCTTATTTTAAAAACTTGGCACACTGTGACCCATCGTTGACTTTGGTTGCAGATCAGGGCAATCTCTTCAGTTTTCTTCTTCTGCCATGGATTTCCTTTCATTTCGGAACTCCCTGCCACTTCCTGGGTTTGTTTGTCTTAATTGTCTCCAGTCTGAGATGGGATAATCATTTGATGAGGCTTTGTACATGAAGTCTTGATGGTGAGGGTGAAGGCTCAGCTGTTAACAGGAAGAACCTCTTTGGAGACAACTTGAATTTGTTGCCTGCAGCCCCTGATTGGCATCTGGTGGAACAATAACAAATCTGAAATGCTAACTTTTCGTTATGCCGTGAAGAATACACTTAGAGATAAATATTTATTATTAGAAACAAGGAACTTCTTAATACATTTTCACCTACTATCTCTCTATGTTATTAAGGCCTTTATCTTGTCGTTTCACTCTTCCTCTCCTTCTTTTCCCTTTAAAACAAAAACAGAGAAAAGAAACTGGCAGTTTTTCATGACTTCAGATAAAATTTGGCAGGCATATCGAGAAGAAACTGCAGTAAGGGAAGTTGGCTGTGGGATCACTTCTCTTTCATGAAGTACTTGAAGAGGGCAGTCACAAAGCACTATTCACAGGGGAGGTTGCTGCTGATATAGCATTGCCAATTACCAGTAAAAATGAAGCAGAAAAATAATACATGTTTCGAAGCACATAGGAATATATACTGGACAGGATAGTGTATTAAGAATTGGTTGTTTTTCCTATCTAGATCCTGCCAGTCTGAACCTCAGTTTACTGGGAATTTAGTGGCATGGAATTTAGTGGCATGGACAGCAGTCCATTTATTCCTCTGAAAGAGAGATGAGCAAAACAAGTCACAGATAATGCACACTATATTCCAGAGAAAGAGAAATATAGGAAGAGAGAAATTTTAATAAGGATGTTAAAATTTCATTTCATTTCCCCTTTACACCCCTCAGTTCTTTTGAGAGAAAAAAAATCTGAAATACACCAAGTAAATGAGATGAAGATTTTGAAGTAGAGGAGAGAAGTAAGGGAAGAAGAGAGGGATAGGAGATAGGGCAGTGGGGGGGAAGAGGAGGAGAGAAAGAAGGAGTGCAAAGGGGAGAGAGGAGAAGGAGAGAGGAAGGGGAACTAGAGAAAAGAAGGATGACAAAGGGAAGAAAGGAGGTAGGGAGGAGGAGAAAGGGAGAAGAAAGTGATGGATAGGGTACAAATACGGTGTATGGAGAGCAGAAGAGCCAATAATCATTTTTGGGAGTTGATGGTAAGACGAATTGATGTAAACATTTAACAATATAATATAATGTTGGTTATATAATTGTATACATGTGGTTATTTGTTATGAAAATGAAAAAAATAAAAAACTTTATTAAAAAAAGAAAAAAAATCTTACCCTGGTACATAAAAAATTCTAGAAATGTTCTGATTCTGTACTTACTTTGGACATTTTGATTTCTATGCTGTTGGTACTTCCATTTCCCCAAACCCTCTGAAACAACTTGGAGACAATATGTATTTATGTTTACACTACATACTCAAATATGCTGAGAACAAAAAGCAAAAGTGCTTACTTTCTCTCAAATTGCCCAAACTCTTACAGTAACATTCCCTCTTAACTCCACATCATATAAAAGGGGACTACAATAAATTACCTACACATGAAGCACACACACTCACTTCTTGTGTGTTCATATGTATGACCACAAAAATGTCTCAATAGATCATATGAGGAGGCAGGGCTGAAAAGCTGCCAAGCCACCATTCCCTTTGAAAGATTTGCGACCATGTCTGTAGCCAAAGAACTAGATAGTGATATAAAACTAAGATTTCCTCAAATGGAAACAACTGCTATGCCTGCTGGACCACAGTATTTCAAGGCACAAACTAGTTTCTTAGCAGTGTGACATATAACATAGCTGAGCTGAAAATAAATAGAACAGGGATGAAGTCATGGAATCCCAGAGACATAAAACCAATCAGTAAAGACAAAGTGGGAGTGCTGTTACTGCCTATATCTTGTATTGTGTTCTAAACACAAATTATTTACAGTCAAATATTTTTTTAAAAAAATAGCCTTGAATGTGTCACAATGTGGTGACTTATTTTTGATTTAGTGCTGTTGTTCAGAAAGAAGATGGTTGCTTTTAACAAAGTTGCTGATAAATAGGGTCTGCTCCCAACTTTCAAAATTCCCATGTCTATAATTAAAAGCGATTTTAAGAAGCAGATAGATAGCTCCTCTTCTCTGCATTGCCTGTGTAAATGCAGAGATTGCTGGTCTCTGCTGTTACTAGTAGTTGTAGTTCAGTGACATCTGGAGTGCCAAAGAGTGCATTCTCCTGCTGAAAGAAAGATCAGTGTCATGCAATATGGGAATTTCCGTGAACATTTTCTTCTCCAATGGAAAGAAACCAAGAGTGGTTTGTGTCTTCATGCCTTTTTCCTCATATGATGAAAAACCAGGGGATTGGCCAAAAAAAAAAAAAAAGAACTAGTTGAGAACTTCAGTATTGTATTACCCTTTATAACAATAAAGCCTCTGATTTTAATGAACTACAGGAGGAAGAATATCTGTTTAAGCTGAATGATGTCCATTAAAGTGAGGAATTACCAGTAGATATAATTGGGGAGATGTGGCCCATCAAGTAAACTGCCCTCAAACCATGTAGCATTTTAAAGGTTATAGTCAACATCTGGAAGCAAATCAGCAACAAGTGTAACTCCTTCAAAAGAGATGACATTCTCTTTGGACTGACACAAAACCGTGTGCATTTTGATCCAACTGAAGCTTTCGGATACTCTTCAAGGGCAGTCCAATGTAGAATGCATTACAATAGTTCAAACAGATGACTGTGGATGACTGTGAGAAGGGCCCACAACAAATAGCAAAGAAGGAAGCCATTGTTTCATTTCCTTGAATTCCAAGCACATCAGCAGATATTATTATTATTATTATTATTATTATTATTATTATTATTTTTGAAAGAACATAACTACAGCAAATTTGACCCTTTCTCCCAAAGTTTTTTGTGCTACTGTTATCCCTGAAATAATAGCTGACACACACACAAAATGTTTAATGTGGATGAAGTGACACTTAGCATATTGTAGGGTATACAAATGGCAACTATTTTTCAAGTCGCAGTCACCATAGTCCAGTTCTTGAGGATAGGTAAACAAGAAAACATAAACCTTGAGGATTTCCATGAATGTAGAACCTGACATCTATTGATGCCAACTGTAGTTCTTCAACAGAAGAAAGAAAATAAATTGATGCGCACATCCCTGGAGGTCAGGGTCAACAGAACAAGGCTCTGCAACTCCATCTGAATTAGCCCAGTGAGTTTCTGGTTGGGGTGACACTTGAAGAAGATTCTTCTAAGTTCCAAAAATTTGGCTCATTCCTAATTATCTTCTCCTTGTACCTCCAATTGGAAAGGCTATTGGAGATGGCATTTGTGCCATCGTAAGAGCTCTTCCTTCCTTAATAGCCATCTGCATCATGTAAACAGATCATCATGTAAACAGAACCTTGACATTAACATGGGAAGAATAGGGTGGGCCTTTTGTTAAAAGGGAAAAGGAGAAACCAAAGAAGGCAACCAAGAAGCATGCCAAGTTTACATTCCTGAGAGGGCAGTCGTTTTCCTGTAGAGTTTGTAGGAAGGGGACCAATGCTTTCTGCCTGATAACACTAATTCTACGAAGAGGAAGTTGGGAAGCAGTATTTATCTTCTGTTTAAACGTCAATTATTTTAGTTTATTTAGTTGTTATATTTACTTAACAAGAAACTAAAAATGAGCCTGTATTCCCTGGCTGAGCTCAAAAATATATGCTTTTATATACAGAAAGGGACAGAAGCACATAGGTCTTATTTTGTTCTATATACACAGAGCTGCCCTCTAAGGCTTTTCTGAAGAATAATGAAGACAGCTTGTGGAGTAGTTTGGTATCAAGAGAACAGAAGAAGCAATTGCGTTTCTCCACCATACCTAGTAGTTGCCCTTTAAAATTTTGAACTAAAATAGTATTTCTACACTGATATTATTTTCTCATCAGGAATTTAAATATTTACTCTGCTATACCCATTTCATCCAGATACTTTGGACCAATTTTAATCTTGTACAGTTAAACACTTGTATTGGCTTTAAATCCAGACACTTTATTGGTAATCCACTAACAGTGATTAGGTGAATAGAGGACTAGTTGGGAGATCTTCCCTTTGGAATAAACATACCCATCATCACTGTGATAGAGAAGAGGGTTATAAATGTTTTCTCTTTCTTAAGAAACCAAAACTAATAGTTCAGGCAGCAGCACAAGTGAGGTCAGAACAACCTAAAACTGATCTTTTTTTTTCCTCACAAGGACCCAAAAGGAATGACTACAGGGATTGTGGTTTTTTTCTGCAAAAATTGAAGTGCCTTTTCCTGACAAGAATGAAAGCAACCTAAATATTCTTTTTTTATAAAGTTTTTTTTATTTTTAATTATCAAAGCAAACACAACACATAAAATCTTCCTTTTTTACATACTGTAGAAAGTGTATCAGTTGGTTACAAAAGACTTTCATGCATCTCTTCCACAGTCATCAAGCATAATTCATATTAACTCAAGTATTTTAACTCAGATATTTATACATGTTACCATCATCATACCTCCATTTTCATTTGACTGTAGTTGTTTAAACGTCCTTCATCATAAAATATACCAAGATTTAATATATAACCACAAAA